GCAGATTGATAAGATCGACAACGGCGCGCTCTCCCAGGCCCTCGAGGCTGGCGGCTACGCACAGAACATCAGTAAGCAGGACACCCTGGTCTCACTGGGCACCCATGGGGCTACGAAGGAGGCCGAACGGAATATTTCTGGGAACGCGGCCCAGGACTTGATTCATCTCGGAGGATCTGTACATGTTGCCAACAGTAATCGTCGTGAAGCCGAGGCCCGCATACAATCAGGTAAAATCGGGTGGAGCCGTCTGTGCGACTACTGGTACTCTGGAGGCCCCTGGAAGGCCAAACGGTTCGCGTTCGTGTCCAACGTCGCGGGGAGGTGCGGTCTGGCCTCGAAAGCTACGTGTTGTCCCCTAGAGAGCTCCACAGACTCGACAGTTCGTTGGCTCGCAAACTACGATCAATGATGAGAGGAGCAGCACATCAGGAGGATGAGCACAACAATCATCGGTCTATGTCTACCCGCCAAGGTTTTATTGAATGGCAGGTTGCACCGACTGCCACCGAGCTACTCGTGCGCAGGCTCAGCTGGTGGCAGAACATAATCCGATCGCACACGCATCATGGCCACTTTCTCGGTTCTTTTTTTTGGAAGATGCAAGTTCGAGCAGCAGGCGGCCATAAGCAACCGCCCCGTCAGCGCTGGAACCCTCAATTCGCATGGTGAGATCTCCGCAGACCCGAACGTGCACCCGTGGGCCACACAGCTCGCGGACGATCTGCTGTGCCTGTCGTCCCACACGATCGGCGAAAGCTTTTAGGAAGCGTGGCAGCCTCGAGTTGTTAAAAAACTGTAGGATGACGAGTGGGTTCGAGAGGCCTTCTTAAATTGTGACGCTCGGGCTCCCAGGGCTTCTTACTGGACGACTCAGTGGGCTCCCCCCGAGGCCAGCGTGATCACCTCCTCTCTCCCCTCGGCGGCAACATGCGACGAGACGGACACTGACGACGAGGCGAACCGCGCCTTCGTGTGCAACATCGAGTCATGCCAGAAACGGTTCGGGACGCTCAAACAGCTCGTCACACACCAAACTAAAGCTAAGAGCCTAGGACACGGTATGCCAGCGGTATTGACCACCCTACAGATCGACAACAAATGTATTGTGTGCCAAACTACGTATCCACATCAAGATCATGCAGTTAGACACCTGCGACGAGCATGGCAAGCAGGCATATGCATTCCGGAACTTACTCATCATGTATATCCCTGGATACCAGCCACATGTACTGCATGCCCTCTACGGGACTACGCTCTGGAGCATGCATGCCAACAGGAATATCATGGTCAGCAGAAGCTTCGATCTCACGTCCTGGGACATGTCCCACCGTCGCCATCGGGTTCCATGCTCAAGCCTGTCGTCAGAAGGCTTACCGCGCGCTCGGCCACTCCGAGTGCGCCCTCGCCGCGCCCCGCGCCATCCAGCTGCCGCCCATCGCCTGCCATAGAGGACACCCCTGCGGTGCGCGCTGCCATTCGTCAGTCGGTGGAACGCATCGTGGGCAGCGACCCTCGCATCAGGCCCAGACGCCGACCACTTCGACGGCTGCGAGAGGCGCGGCGCCCAGCAGCAGCAGATGCAACATCTACGCGGCCAATGCGAGTGGCTACTGTCTCCTCTACGCCCACTCTTCCTGCACTTCCTCATGGACCAGGCGATGACGCCCAAGCCGAGAGCGCCGTGGCGACTCCCGCTGGACTCCTCCCTGGGCTCGAAGGGCTCTGGCACCGCCTCCAGCGCCGCGCCAGGCCAGAAGGCGACAAAGGCCTCGCGTCCGCCAGGCCCGCCGCCGCCGCCGCAGAGGCGATCCCGATCACCACGATCGCCCGACAAGGTGGACGAGGGGGGCATCGGCGAGGACAAGAAGCTGCCGCTCCAGACGACGCGCGAGACCAGGCGGAAACACAGCATCAGCAGAGACATATGCGCGATGAGCAACGAGCACCCAGTGATCACAGCCACCACGCAGGAGCTCGAGGGCTACAAGCACGCCCTGGACCCCCTCAAAAAGAGCGGCACCCTAGACGACAAGAAACGCATGCAGGAGATAGGGCCGCCAGCTCCTGCCCTCGCGCTGGCGGCCTTGGAAGGGCTGCGCAAGTGCGACGTGGGCGGCGCTATGAAGAAAGCCATTCGGAACTACCTGCTCCGAGCGGGCCCCGGGGATATCGAGGCGGAGGCGGAGATCAGCAAGGGAGATCCCCTCGACGTCATCTCCATTGTGCGTCTGGAGAAGTGCCACGACGACGCCAAGACGAAGCTGGTGATCGGCGCGCCCACGTGGGAGGGCCGAGACCTGATCAACCGCGCTCTCGCGGCCGAGGGCCAGGCGGCCCACCACAGGGGCGTGGCCGAGGGGCGCGCGGACTGGCTCGAGGAGGAGGTGGACCACGGGACGAAGACGCCCGCGTAGTGAACCCGCTCCTTTGCCAGAGCGAGCCTGCGCGGCACAATGCAAGCACAAACGGAGAGGACACAATCCAGCGCCGTGTTATTTTTGTCCGAGGCGAAGCCCTCCCTGCTAGCAGTAACGCGGTCACGGTCACGTACCCTCCCGCCTCCGACGTGCCTTCACCTCTCCCCACTGCCGTGCCTGCACAAGCAGAGGAGCTACGTGAGGTGGAGGCCCCACCTGAGTTCGATACAATCGCCGAGGATGAAGCGGCCGAATACCTTTTCAGCTAGCATCCGAGACGTTGCTTGGCACGCGCAGCGCAGGAAGCCCTTCTGCGCAACACCCTGGCAGCGTGGCCCACGCGGGGCAGTGCGAGACAGTTGGCTCTCTGCGACGGATCATTGAATATGGATTCGCTGTGCGCCACATCTTACCATCAGATGTTGGTCCTGACGTCGAGGAGAAAATCACCATCACCATCGCCATCGCCATCACCATCACCATCACCACCATCATCGTCATCGTCGTCGACGCCATCATCATCGTACTCGTCATCGTCATCGTCATCGGCATCAACACCATCATTATCACTAGCATCATCAACATCATCCTCATCATCCTCAACACCATCATCATCGTCATAGTGGTTGTCATCGCCATCGTCATCATCAGCATCATCACTTTGATCACAAACATCATCGTTCGCATCATCATTAGCAGCAACAGCGTCATCATCATCGTCGTCATCGTCAGCATCATGCATCATCATCACCGCCACCGTCATTGTAATGCCCGGCGCCATCGTCATCATCATCACCATCGTCATCAGGTTCACCACTATCATGATCATTATCAGCATCCCTACCATCATTATCACCATCATGATCATCATCACTATCAATTGCATAGTCATTGTCACCCCGTCATCACCAATATAATCATCACCAGCATCATGCATCATCATCCATGTTGTCGTCACCACCATCAACATAATCATCATTCTGTTTATCGGCATCATCATCACCATCATCGTCATATTCATATTCATCGTCATCATCATGTCCGTCATCATGACCACCATCATCTAGACATCATCAACATCGTCATCATCATTACCACCATCATTTTCATCTCCATCATCATCATCACCATCACCACCACCATCATGAGCAGCATCATTATCACCTTCGTTATCATCACCACCACCATCATCATCATCTTCATCATTATCACTGCTTTCATGGTGATCATCGGCACCCTCGTCATTATCATCATCATGGTTACCACTATCGTCATCATCATCATCACCACCATCATCATCACCATCACGACCACCATGATCATCATCAGCATCGGCATCGTTATCGTCATTATCATCATCCTACTCATCGTCAGCATCATGCATCATAATTATCGTTGCCATCAACATCAACATACGCATCATCATCGTCGTCATCTCCATCGTCATCTTCGTCTCCATGATCATCAGCTTCATCATGATCGCCGTCATCGTCATCACCATCATCATACTCATCATCATAATCTTCGGACACGTCATTACCACCACCATCATCATCAGCATCATCAACATCATGATTATCATCACCATCATCACCGCAATCACCATCACCATCATCATCATTCTCATCATCATGATCATCATCATCGTCGTCATCATCATCACCATCAAAATCACAATCACCATCATCATCTCCAGCCTGATCATTATCACCATCACTATCGCCATTCTTATCACACATCATCATCATCCTCATCATTATCCTCATGATCATCTCCATGTTGATGACCAGCATCATCAGCATCAGCATCATAATCAGTATCATCGCTTGTGATTGTGGCAGACGCTTCGCCCGGGTCGAGCTGCACCAACTAAGCATTGGGTAACGATTTTTCTGGGCGAGCTATGGCGATGAGGACGCGCAGTTTCAAGGCCTCAGGATCTGCGTTCAGCCGCGGCGATGAGAACCTCCATTGCCAGAACTTGAAGTCTTTGGTTATGTATTTCAGTCTCGCGAACAGGGAGTTAGCGGGACTGGGATAGCTTGTCAGAGCACCCGGCAGCAGTTGGAGAAAGGGCGCTCCCACGACAGAACGGCAACACCATCCAAAGCGCCGTCGTCGTCGTAACTTCCATAGTGATCGTTGTCTTATTCATTGTTGTGCCGATCGGCGCGGGCCCCCGCACACCCTCCCCCCCATGGAGTAGATCTTGGCTGCTTCTGGCGCCTGTCTCAAGCAGGTGGAGTTCCCCCCATAGGACGCACTGCTACAAGCAGCCGTGTTGAGCAGAGGTCTGGCGCCAGACCCGCCCCCTCCCTCCCCCGCGTCCGCCCAATGTCGAGACGCCGACACAGGAACCAGTTGACAAGCGTCCAAACCCGAGGCGGATATGTTTAGCTATCGCCACCGCCTGCAGGGGCATTGATCTTCACCGCGCCCGCATCCACTGCCTGCCGAGGTCTCCGAAGATCGACCTCCCCAGGCGGTGGCCGTGGAGACAGCCCCGCCTCGCGTCCCCTCCGAGACGACGTCGTCGTCGTCCGCACCGAGGGCCGCCTTCGCCCTTGCGGGCCCAGCCAGGAGCCATGACGCCCTCGGTCCCGTGGGCGCCCGCGGCGCTCTGCCTGGTCCTGTGCTGCTGCACCCCTGGGGCGGCCACCCGGGCGCCGCCGCGGGGGGGGGGCTCTACTCTCGGGGGTTCGTAGAGGGAGGGTGTTATCCCAAGGTGGGGCTGGGGAGCGGGCCCAGCTGGATGCTCCCGTTTAACGCGTTTCTTTCTTCCAGGGGCCGTTCGGAGAGATTTTCCTTCCAACCCCACCTTTGCCCCAGCCCCACCTTTGTGGCCCCCCAATCCTCGACGATGGGGCGATTTTCGCAGGGGGGGCGACGTCCCCCAGACATCCTCGCGTCGTGAAGAAACCACGGTTCGCAAGGTTTGTGGCCTTGTTCGGCCTCTTGGGGGTGGCCTCGTCGTGCCCTGCGACCAGAAACAATTGCTCCAGATGAGAAGCTACGCCTTGGGGAAAGGGTCGGGGCTTCCTGGGACCGCGTCTTGAAACCACTAAGACATCGCATGTCTGAGCTGTCAGGTTCCAGGTTCGAGGGTCGAGGCATGGTCGAGGATGGAGTTTTTTGTTGTCGTTTGCTCATTATTTGGGGTCTCCGGGCGGGGGGGGCTTCTCGTCGCCACTCGATGATCCTCAGGACGTGTGTTAGCTCAATGTGTGTTTACCCCGTTCAGCCACACCCGCAGATCATTACATCGCCTACGTCGTATGGAAGGGCCTCGGTTGTTAAACACACGTTGGCGCTAACACACGTTGTGCGGATAATCGAGCCACGTCTGGATTCCTTTTGACATTCTGGTTGGTCAGAGCGCACTCCTGGAGAGCTCCAGGGCTCAATTGTTCTCATATTCTCCATGCGCCGCCGTTTCTAGACGACTCTGGACAACGAGGCACTACCCTGGGGAAAGCCCCAGCTCAAAGACCCGTCTGCCTCAGGATGTTGTTTCCTCGTGGGCAGCCCGGGGCCTTCGCTCTTGTGTTGGCCGAGTTCTTTCTTCGTGTTTGGCGGAGGTCACCCAGAGGCCATCATCTCTCCCCATCGGGCGCACGTGGGCGAGCGGAGCATGGGGCTGCGCTTCCGCGTGCCGTGCGCCTGTCGCAACGCAAGGTCGACCTGCTGAGTCCAGCCTCGGAAGCTCTTCGCGTGGGGTTCTCCGCGGCGCGGCTCTCTCGGACGGTGCCACACGGGATGATCTCTGCCTGCGGACACAGGGTCGCTGAGTCTCGAGTGCGCCAGATGATGCATGCGCCTTCTCTGTTCAAGACGGTCTGGTGTTGACAGTCAGCCTAGGCCCCTTGTCCAGCTGCACCCCCTCGCCACCGTGCCCGCGCAGCAGCCCAGCAGGAACAAGGTCGAGCTCAAGGCCCGCCAGCTCACCGCTCTGTCTAGCACAATACGTCGTGCAGGCGCGGTGGCAGCTATTTGATTGTAGCAGGCCGGGGGGGGGCTGTGGAAGCGAGGAAACGCGCGGGGGACTCTGGGACGCGCCTTTCAGATAGTTGCAGCACCGTCTGAGCTCTCGTCCGGGTTCCGCTTCCAGTGCCTCCAGCGCCCCTCCCACGCTTCCCTTTTTCCCTTGTTAGCACGTCGAGCAGGAAGGTCAGCAGATGCAGGAGGAGCGGATACATGGGGGATGGGCCCAGGACCTGCCCGGGCCATCACCGAGAGGAGCGGGGCGGTGGGCCGGCCCCCATCTCTCGCGTCTCGCTCGGCCCAGCCCTGCCGCGCCCATCTGCCGAAGAGGGTCACGGGGGCCTCCCCCTCGGCTGGCAGAGGCATCAGAAGAGGAACCACCGCTGGATTCGCCTCGAGGTCCTGGTCAGAACGCGCCCTGGGAGATGTCCTGGGAGTTGCTGCATCGGCACCTTCTGGTTTCCCCCGGGTGTCGGCGTTCCAGGCGTTTCAGCACTTCCGTGGTCTCCAGGGGTCGAGCAGACGCAAACGTGCATCGGGGCGCGTGGATCAGCAGCCTGCCCCGCTTCCACTGGATCGGCGCGCTGCGTCGCCTGGCGCCCACGCGCCAGAGACACGGAGCCGAAGTCCGTGTGGGCGTGTGCCCGAACGGGTGCGCGCGGGGGCCGAGCGGAGCCTCGATGTGCCAGGGTTCGCGGCTCGCACGAGGGGGACGGTGTGAGAGCGGCCAACCTGCGAAGAAGGCGGGGGCTTCTCAGGAAAGCCCGGGTGCTTCTGAGAAGACTTTCTCGAAACTTGGCGGGGGGGGGCTGCTGAGCGGCCCCCCGCCTTCTCAGGAGTTCGCCCGCCTTCTTAGAAGGCCGCCCCTCGCGCGCCACCCCACCTGTGCTCGCCGCCAGTAGGGCACCCGGGGTGCATCGGCTGCCGCAGGGTCCAAGGAGTCGGGCTCCTGGCTGCGGGGTGCGCCTCCGTCCCTGTGCTCTGCCCGGTCTGCCCACCCAACGGTCTCTCCGGCCAGCTGGTTCCGAGATCGGCGCGCCGCCATCGCTGCTGGCGTCTCCGACCTGCTGGCAGGTCGGAGACGGAGCGGTTACCCTTAGCCCCCTTGGCCCGCCCCTTCCCCGACATCCCACCAGGTAACCAAGGACCCAAAGACCTTCTCGGCTCCAGTGGGGCTTGGTTCTCCCGGGCCGGAAAAGCTGTTTCGTGCGTCATTCAACGGTCTTTGCGGCAGCTGTGCTAGGAAAGCAAACAATGGCATATGCATCATCACTCGGAGGACCGCTCGGATTTCTCGGATCGGCGCTGGACCCCCCTCCCTGGCGCGCGCAAGGTGCGGCGCCAGAGGACTCAGCGCCGATCCGAGGAATCCGCGCGGACCTCCGATTTGTCATGTTTGTGTCCTCTTTTTTTTTTTGTGTGCGCAAGTCGTGGTCCTCCTGCACCTCCGTGCCTCGATTCGCTCCGTCGAGCCCCACCACTTGCTCGACCGACTCCTGCTCGCCTGCGCCCGCGGACCCCAAAACGTGGTTCGGTATCGTTCAACCAATCCCCATCCCCATCCCCATCCCCGTCGAGACCCCCACCAAGTTACCACCCCAGCTGGGGATAGACCCTTCGAAACCCGAAGGGGAACGGCCTCTATCCCCATCCAGGGGGGTGAGTGGGCCAGAGGGGCCCAGGCCACGCCGCTGGGGATGGGGATCGGTCAAAGGATACTCGGTTCTCTGTGTGCCTCTGCACGCCCCGCTCTCTCCCGGGCGGGCTTGGCGGGTTGCCTCTCTTCGCCCACGGGGGGGGGGAGGATCGGCGAGGGGCCGTCGCGCAGGCGGGCGCCCGCGTGCGCCTCCGCGCCCCCGACGTGGCAGTGGCGCTTGCTGGCGCCCGCCCTGCGCGCTTCGGAGCGCAGGCGCGGTGCGGCGGGCTTCTCTCGGCACGATCGGCCGGGGGGGGCCAGGGCCGGGAGGGGCATCTCCCCCTCGTCCTACTCCCCTTCCCTCTCCTTCCCCTCCTCCTTCCTCAATTTTTGCCTCGTCTTTCCACCTCCTCCTTCCTCCTTCCTTCTCCCTCCTCCTCCTCCTCCTCCTCCACTTCCTCCATTCTTCTCCTCATAGGTAGCTCCTCCCTGACGCGCTCCGAGGCCTGTCGACAGGGCGCGCCAGGCGTTTCGCTCGAGACTTCCTCCCAATCTGTGATCCTGGAGCTTGAAATTTGCAACAGCTTCTCGGATAGAGGGCAGTCCGTTTTCGGAGTGTGGCTCTCTCTTTGCGCCACCGACACTCGTCTTCAACACTTGCAAGGGTTCGACGGATGCACGGCGATCCGTTTTCAAAACATGGCTTTCGCCGTAGCGCCGCGCACATTCGTGTTCACAGTTCCCATGAGTTTCATGGATGGAGGGCGGCTCCTTTTCCAATGTGGTTCTCGCCTCAGCGCCGCGCACATTCGTCTTCAAGTTTTGCAAGAGTGTCACGGATGGACGGCGGCTCCTTTTCAAGATGTGGTTCTCTCTTTAGCGCCGCGCACACTCGTCGCAAAAGTTTACAAGTGTTTCGCGGATGGAGGGCGGTTTCTTTTCAACATGTTGTTCGTGCCTAGCGCCCCGCGCATTTGTCTTGAGAGCTTGCAGCAGTTTCACGGATTCTCATGGTTAACCTTCCAGAGACAGTATTTTGGCATTCTGTCGGAGTTTCAGGGAGCATCAGTCACGTTGATCCGCTGTGTCGAAGTCCCAGGAATGGTGTTCTGGCACGGATCAGGACTGTGAAGACGCAACAGTAACGGTGATTCGCGGCGTGGAAGCCCCAGACCGCGCGTTCTCGCACAGCTCTGGGTTTTCAGACAGTTGTCTTCCAACGGGGGAGTTTCTTTCAGTGAACATGAACCCGTGTATGAGCCGATGAAGAGGAAATTTGAACGGAGGGTTTATTGCAATATCGTTGATGAGTATTGGGTTTCCACTGGTCCTCCTCCTGCTCCTCCTTCCGCGGGTATGGACAGGATGGTACACAGACCAACAGTTGTTCCTGCCCATTTTGAGCAGGAGTCGGTGTCGGTTTCGCCGCTGGCTTTGTCCTCTTGAAACAAGAGTTATCTGCCGAACTCCAGTCGCTGTCGGTTTTGAACAATATTTGTTGATCGGCATTCCGCAATTTTTCCATACCCATGTAGGGCGTCCAAATTTGTCGTGTCCCATGAGCACAGCAATTGCGATGGTTCGGGAGGGCGAGAGGCTGTCAACGACAGGCGGCCGTTGGGAGCCCGTCACCGTGTTGCATACTTCTTCGTGCTTGCCCGACGGCCTGATGTTTCTTTACCAGTAGTTCGCTGAATGGTTCCCCATGACGTGTCATGTATGTTGTTTTGCTCACCCAATGCATTCGGAACCCGAGGGGCTGCGAACGGGAGGTGCGCTGTGCCAGGGTTGCTAGCAGCATTGTCCGCTTTGGCAGGCCCTGGGGGTTAAAACGGTACTCATTGGCGGGCAGCGATCGACCAGGGTTTCTTACACTGGCGCCCGCGCCCAGAGTCTGCTCTCGGTGCGCTGCAGTCAACTCTTGGGGACCCGAGACGACGCGGTGACCATGTGGTGGGTCACTGGGGATCTGGGGTGAGTCGCATTGTTTGGGCCTGTCTCGCTCGCCGATGATGTCTCGGGCGACTGGGGCCTTCAGGGTCCCCGAACCGTGCGGTGACGGACCGTGCGGCGATTCGTCGCCGCATTTCGTTGGGGGACCCCCACGGCCCGTGCAGAGAGCTCAGGAGGTGGACCCCGGTGCTCCCGCGGCCTGGCGTCCGGTGGTGCTCGCTGCCTTGGGCGGGAGAGGCGCCTCGCGTCTGCCTCCCGGGATGGGCCTCTTCTGCTGGAGCTCTGGACGCTTCGTAGGTCCCCACCAGTCAGGGGCAGCGTTGCTTAGGGGGGAGAGGCTCTCGGGAGGATGCATCGGCCCAACATCGCTTACGGTTCGCCGATGGGGGCCTCATGGCCCGCCTCGCCGAGGAGCACGCAGATCCGCTGTCGGGGGCCTATCGCTGATCAATCGGCGATGTCTCGCCGGCTCCAGGTCGATGCTCCCCCCCCTGAGCTGAGCTCCCCGCAGCGTTCTCCTCCATTCGCGCATCCTCACCAGCCCATCCGGAAACGAGGACCAGGCGAGTTGCCTGGATCAGAGGAGTGCAGGAACACACAGTGGAACAAAGAGGGGGGCAGCTGTCAAGCCGAAGCTCGGGATCGACTTGGGGAGACGTCAGATTCAACGGTTATTTGACCGCCTGGTCGCCATTTTAGAACCCTTTGCGGCTCTCTGGGGACCATCGTGGGGCTGCTCCCTCGTGCGGGCATTCAGGCCTCCTGGGCCGATTCAGGACGCCATCGAGCAAGAAAGGAATCGGCGTTAATCAGCACTCCCCCTCAGTCGAAGCCAGCTAATCGTCGCGTAGCGCCCATTTGAAGCGGGATTTGGGATCTCTTGGGCGCCCATGGGGCCGAAATGTAGTGTTTATGGCTCCCACTTGGAGCTCCAGTGAACGATATTTGGGCCATCCAGAGGCCTCCGAAGTTTGTCGGAAGCGAATGCGAGAAGGCACGCGTCAATGGGACGGTTTGATTTGGTTTCGAGGATTTTGGCCTGTAGGAGTTCTCATTTGGATGCTCCGTGCCCGCTACAACCCTCGACAGAATGAACGTCAAAAGTGGTTGACGCGCCACTCCAGTGTCGCTCCTTGTCACCCACTCGATGCCGCCCCCGTCAATGTCGAAGCAGAGCGGAACGCGGTCTGGGCAGCTGCGACTCGGAAGTTACATGATGACCGACACTGGAGACGCGGTGCCGACAAGTGCCGTGCGCGCAGTGACGCCCAAGCCCAGGACATCACCCCGACAAGAAAATTGCCAGACACATGTTTGAGGTGGTTTTTGGAGGCCTAGAAATGGGCACCAACACCAACACAGGGGTTTGCCTCCACAGGGGCAAGATGATCCTAGATGGTGTTGGTGGTAATCTTTCGGCCACCTTGGAAGCCTGAATATTGCCACCATCACCGAGATCGGGATCTTCTTCCCTCGGTGGAGGCACACCGCCGAAATTGGTGTTGGTGTCAACCTCTAGGCCTGCGAGATTTGTCGAGGGTAAGAGGAGACGTCTCGTGGCGGTCTCGAGACCTCTCCGGAGGCGTGCGGGGCGCGCCTTCCTTGCCGCCTCTTCCCGCTCTGCCGCCGCGCGCGGCCCGCGCTGCGGAGGCGCAGGCCAGTGGCAACGCCAGCGCTGCGGAGGCACGTGCGCGCGCGGCACTGGGAGGTGGGTGGCAGCGGGAGGGATCGGGGCTGAATCGACGGAGGTCCATGCAAGCAGGGGCATTCGAGAGCGCCAGATCTTGCAGGATCCTGCGGAGCCAGGGGTGCGCTGACCAGGGTCAGCGTGCAGGAACCTGCAGGGCCCTGCAGGATCCTGCAGGATGCTGCAATCCCCGCTTGACCCGCGGTTGCAACCGCTGCCCATCACTGCGAACTCAGTGGCCGTGTTCCGGCGCGCATGCACTTAGCGGTCAGCTTTTCCCAATTTTCCGTGGCACCCGTTCTTGCGCGACGTTCTGCCGCTGCGCCGTGTAGGCGCGGTTTCTTCCAGTCCAGTCCAGTCCAGTTCAGTAGATCCCCGAAGGTATGGGTGGCCGGCAGCCCGGACGACCCTTGGCATCCCCGACCCCTTCCGTGATGGCCCCGTCGCCTCGCTCCCACACGTGGGCGGGCGGCCAGAGGGGAGCCTCTGGGGCGAGGGGGTCGTTCGGCAGCAGGTCACGGGGGCCTCGTGTGTGTGTGTGTGTGTTTCCTTCCGCAGCCCCGCTGCTGCCGATGGCCCCCCCCTGGCGACGGCCACGCCACACGCCCCGGGCACCCCGCCCTTCTGAGCGGCCCCGGCGGCCTCTTCCGCACTCCCTCTCGGCCGTCGCCCCGTCGTCCTTCCTCCCCCCCTGCTGCATGGTGGCTCTTCTCGCTCAAACGCTTGCCCCGTTTCGCTCCCGTCGCCAGCGCAGTCACTTTGCCTAGCCGCCGACGCAAAAGTGTACGTGTGTGTGTGTCCTCGGGACTCCGTCTTCAGAGTGCGTCCGCGTGCTCGAGCATGTGGTACTCGACGAGGAAGCGCCGAGTTAGCGTCGATTCAGCGTCGGTCAGCGTCGACCAGCGTTGATATCGCAAGGGCCAGCAAGATGGCAGGAGAGGCTCCCACGAGTTGCCTACGAACCGAGGGCGAGGGGGTCGTCCCTGGAGGGGCTCGTCACGGAAGAGGTCGGTTGGGCCGCTCCCGAGCGTGCCAGGCTGAAGCAGAGGCGCCGTGGAGAAAGATAATGGGTGCCGTGTTTGTAGGAACCCACAGTTTTTGGGCTCCCGGGTGTCTCTCCTGCCCCCAGGGCCGTCAGCTCTGGGGGCAAAGATTGGCGGGATGAAGACTGCTCCTGGGGAAAGGCTAACCTCGCCGCGGTGGCAGGGCAAATTTGCTGTTTTTTTTTGTTTTGTTTGTTTTTTTTTTTTCCGGTTTTCACATTGCAAATTGGGCGCGCGCCTGGTGTCCAGAAGGTGCGCTGGGGGCGACCAGAACAACGCCCGGAAGAGCGCCTGGGAGCGCGCTGGGGCGAGCGCCCGGGCGAACCCAGAAGAGTGCCGAGAACAACGCCCAGGAAAGCGCCATCAAGAGTGCCCAGAATATGGCCCAGACGCGAATCTGGAAGAGCGCCCGAAAGAGCGCCCGAAAGAGCGCTTGGAAGTGCGCCCAGAAGCGACCGATTTTGCGACCGATTTCGCGTCCGATTTCGCGCCAGATTTTTGTGTGTCGGTTCAATGCTAAAATAATTCGGACGCAAATCGAAATTAAAATCGGACACACAATCGGGCGCACATCGGAAACAACATCGGACGCAAATCGGACGCAACATCGGACGCAAAATCGGGAACAACATTGGACGCTGATGGCGTCGACCATTTTTGGGCGGATGAGGCAGCGTATCGTGGTGCATCATGGCGAGGTCTGGTAGGGTGTGTATTGCGGACCCATGCGCGCAATTCAGCGTTTGAGTTTTAGCGATGTGGCGAACGACAATCTGCGATATCGCCTTCTGTCCAGGTCGGGTCAAATCGACAGAACAAATCAGATCGCCGCTTCTGCAGCCGTTTTTCAGGTGAGAAAGGCCCCAGGTCCAGGACACGCCTCTACAACGTCACCTCCTCCTCCTCCTCCTCCTCTTCCTCCTCCTCCCCCTGTCCCTCCCTTTTCTTGTTCCTCCTCCTCCTCCTCCCTTCCCCCCCTGCCCCTGCCTTTTCCTGCCGAAGGCTCCGCTTTGCCGAAGAAGGGGGCGGCAACCCTCCTGTCTTCAATGCCCCTCCCGCTCTCGAAGGCCCCTGCTCTTGTCGGAAGCCTCCGACCTCGTCCGAGAGGCCTCGCGCGTTGTCAGAAGGCCTCCCTCCTCGCCCTGCTCTTCTCCGGGAAACGCAAGACTCGAGTACGGCAAAACTCGGGTTCGCCCATGCTTTTCGACGAGCCCGTCTTGGATTTTTACGGTCAAGTTTTCGTGGAATGTCTGCGGCGGGAGTTCGTGTCAAATTTCAGACAGGGTCGCGTCATTTTCATGATTGCCCCCTTGGGCCAACCCGAGTCCCCCCGACCCGAGTCTCACATGTCCCCGAGCCCTTTGTGAGCGCCACTGCGCTGAGGAGAGGATGAATACAGGGACCGAGTACAGCGCTGTTTCGCTTGTTGTTTGCTCTTGGTCGATTGTTTGTTTCGTTTTCGTTGTTGTTGTTGTTGTTGTTGTTGTTGTTGTTGTTGTTGTTGTTGTTGTTGTTGTTGTCGTTGTGTTTGGTTTGTGTTGCTGTTGTTGTTGTCGTTGCTGTTGTCGTCGTTGTTGTAGCTGCTGTTGTTCTTGCTGTTGTTGGAGTTGCTGCTATTGTTGTTGGTGGTGATGTAAATCTAATTCGTGTTGTTGATGCTGATGTTTCGGATGTTGTTGTTGTTGTTGATGTTGTTGTTATTGTTGCTGTTGTTGTTGGTTGTGCTGATGTTGCTGCCGTTGTTGTTACCGTTGTTGTTGTGGCTGTTGTTGAATATTCTTACTTCTAAAGAATAATTATTGTTGGGCTCCCTGGTGCACGCCCCCCTCGCCGCGCCTAGGCCGCAGCCACATTTTCATCATTTTCGCGAGGAAGTCTCAGGCAAAACGGGGGAGTCCGTATCCGGTTGTTTTGTTGACGCCCGTTTTCCCGGTCAAAAAACAATATAAAATGACATGTCTTGTTCTAACATCGCCAAACTTCAAGAATCCTTTGCGAAAAATGACACGAAGTGCACACTCGCGCGCGCAAGATGAAATCCTTCCAAAACCTTAGTTGTCGTAGCGATTTTAACATAAAAACATGAAAAAAACCCAATGGTTTTTCAAACAAAAAGTTTCAAACATTCATCCCGCGCGCTCTTGCGGATTTCTTAGGAAACCCAGTACTTTTTCAACATTTCTGTCAAACGGGCTCTTGCGAGCAACTTTTTCACGTGCTTCGAACTTCTGCAACAACGGTTGCGCGCCTGCCAGGGCCATCATCCCTGTCAAATAATACCATATGGGACACATTCGTTTTTTCTTCGCGCGCGCACGCCGAAATCTTCAAACACCATTGGGTTTCTTAAGAATTTCAGCACCGCGTATCATAAAATCGCACGAATCGCACCGTAGGTCCTCGAAAAACACGTGCACGGATTTTCAAAATTTCTACCCGCGCGCGCTGTCCGAATCCTTAAAAACCAATGGTTTTTCAACATTTATGTTACATGAGCTCGCGCGAGCTACTTTCGCAAGCTCTTTCAACGGCGTTCGCGCGCCTGCCAGGGGCCACAATCCGCCAGTGTAGTAGCCACGCGCCAGTGTAGTAGCCACGGTCGTCCGCAGGCCACGAAGTGAAGTGTCCGAACGTCATAGGGCGGGAAGCTGGGTGTGGGTGGTGGCGAAGAGTCGTTTGGAAATGTGGTAGAGCTTGAACCGGCCCCCCCACAAAGTGGGGGTATTGGCGGGCGTCGTATGAAAACCCTGGCACTGGTGAGAACGGAGTGTCCCCACGTGCTAGTATTTGTTGTTGTTGTTGTTGTTGTTGTTAGTGTTGTTGTTGGTGTTGTTGTTTCTGTAGTTGTTGTTGGTGTTGTTGTTGTCGTTGAATAGGAGCGGGCGCCGGACCCCGGCGCTCCCCCCTGACAACAACAACAACAACAATCATTTTACCTTCATGCGCGATGTTCCCACACGAAGCATGCGATCATCATGATAACCATTCACATCATGGCGGACTCTTGTTCTATAGCGGGGTCCGTTATTACCATTCCCAGATCTGAGAGAAAACCTTGTGCGGGAGCGTTGTTCTTGCTGGGAGGGGCGCCAATTCAAAAGAGAGTAGGGCTCCAGTCCAGCGTAAAACAGAAGTCTCGGGCGGGATCGCTGGTTTTGTCGGGGCGGCGGTTTTCGGCGGCGAGGAGGAGCACCGCCTTGAGTAGAAAAGTGAGGAAGCCTCGAGTGGGAACGTTGTTTTTGCTGGGGGCGGCGCCGATGAGAGAAAGACTAGCGCGCCAGTCCAAGGTAAACCGGGAGGAAGTCTCGAGCGGGAGCGCTGGTTTTGTTAGGACGGCGGCTTTCGGCGGCGGTCAAGAACACCAGCCCTGAGTAAAAAAGGGGGAAGTCTCGAGCGGGAGCGTTGTTGTTGTTGTTGTTGTTGTTGTTGTTGTTGTTGTTGTTGTTGGTGTTGTTCGGGCTTTTGCGAGCAACTTTTTCGAACTTCTGCGACAACGGTTGCGCACCTGCCAGGGCCATCATCCCTGTCAAATAATACCATGTGACCAACTATCTTGCGAGTACGTATCATCTCATGTGTGTCGTGCACACTATCAAATGTAACAGAGTTGTGTGTTCCCATCATCCCAGGAACTTGACCCAAAAATGTGACCAACTCCGCTCTCTCTGTCTCTCTCTCTGTCTGCTCTCTGTCTCTCTCTCTGTCTCTCTGTATTATGTATTGTATGGCACAATTGCACCATGCTGGGCACATGCGCGCCCCGAATAAGTGACCAAGTTCTGTGGGTGTGTACCCCACGCCAGTGTAGTAGCCACGGTCGTCCGCACGCCACGAAGTGAAGTGTCCCAACGTCATAGGGCGGGAAGCTGGGTTTGGGTGGTCGCGAAGAGTCGTTTGGATATTTGGTAGAGCTTGTAATGCCCCCCCACGAAGTGGGGGTATTGCCTGGTGTC